AAATCTCTCTGTGATTAACTTACGTTAAGGTAAGATGTTTAGTTTTATTTTCGTCATAATTTTGTTTATAAGATTCAAAAGACTAATTATAAATTTTTTATTTGATTAAAGAGATGGATAATGGATCGTGGAGTGGATATATGGCGTATTGTAATGAACGTGGGTTTGCTCCGGATTTGAATCTTGGGCAAAATTTTGGTTCCGAAACCCAACCACCGGATGATTTTCCCATGGAGGACACGGAAGTTCCGGAGACGGAACCAATGGCGATGCCTACACGGAATGATGATGCAAATCCACTCGATTCTATGACGCTAGACCAATTACTCCGTGCGCCGGGTCGAGATAAATTGAAAAAGATCGACCCAAGCCGTATGAACGGAACAACTTGGTAAGAAATTGTATTATTTAATTTATAGTTTTACGTAGATAATCTCAATTAAATAATTTGGTAATTATAGGTATAGATTCGATAAAGGATTCACAAAGATTATCAAGAAAATCATGGAGAGCGATTTCCCCGATCCCGCTCCGAATCTTACGTCGGTCTCCGGAGACACAAAGAAACGTTGGTTTAAGGCATTTGCGGTTAGTTTATTTAAATAAAATTTATGCTTTATTTACTTTGTTTATAATTGTAGCTAAAAAAATTAAATTTTAAAATTTTACAACACTAAAAATATATATATTTTAAATTGTTTAACATTGTAGCAAAAATTTTATTGGGATTATGGTCTTACGGCCGAAGTACAAGAAAAATTTGAGGAGATATGTGGGAGTCGTTTATTGGATTATGTTTATGGATGGAAAAAGAAATGGCTTAACGGGAAAGAAAAGCCAAATTGGATGCGAGAAAACGTTTGGCAAGGGCTTATTGCATATTGGTTACAAGAGCAAAATAAATCCCGTAGTGAAACTAATTCTCAAAATCGCAAGAGTGAACGCGGAGGCTATGGCATGGCTAAACATACTTGTGGATCAATGCCATATGTCCGGAAAAAGGAAAAAATGGTAAATAAAAATTTAAATTTTTTACATTTCAATTTGCATTATAATAAATTTTATTGTAAATTTTTAACTAATAAATATTTTAAATGCAAGCGTAATCCCGAAACCGGTGAGTATCCCGATATGGTGACATTCATGGAGGAGACTCACAAACGGAAATCGGACGGGACATTTGTTGATAAAAAAGCTGAGGCAATAGCTCGTCGATGTCGGGAGATGGAGAAAGAGAAACTCACACAATTGAGTCAACATTCGGACACGCCTGATGATTATCAACTCACCCAAGCAGAAAAAAACGATATTTTCAGATCGGTAAGTAATAGTAATTAAAATATTATAATTTAGATAATATGTTTTATTTCCTAACAACATTTTCATTATAATAGCAAGTTGAAGTTAAAAAAGGACGTAGATTTGGATTCGGTTCCATTCCGTTTGACGAAGACATGGGCGGAAGTTCGTCATATTCACATGCACACGTGAATTGTCAAGAAAACGCAGCCGAAATCATCGAGTTGAAGAGTCAATTAAAAGATTGTAAGTTTTGGATGGATATGATGGCCCGTCTTCATCCCGACATCGTTCCGCCTTCTCGCCAAGATCAACCCGGAAATGCAAATGAAACAAATAACGTTGACACTCTATTTGATAATATATAATATTCGCGTTTGTAATAATTTTTAGTTGTTTAAGAACTTATTAATGTTTAATTATGTTTTTTATATTATGTGGTGAATTTTATTTTTTTTAATTATGTTTTTATATAATATTTGTGTTTGTTTTATTGAATTATTACAATTAAATTAAATTAATATTATTTAATTTAATTAATTATATTAATTAACAATAAAATATAAATATTTTTTTTAATAAAATATAATATTTCGTCGGAAATTCATCGGAAAATAATAAAAAAATACGATTTGTCGGAAATTCGTCGGAAACTATTAAATATATTATTATATTATATTTTGTCGGAAATTCGTCGGAACATTCCGACGAACTTCCGACGATTTGTGGTCGGAAAATCGTCGGAATCGTACTCGATCTTGCGGCGTCGTTTGTAGGAATCTCCTCGGAATGGCGTCGGACTATGCCGTCGGGATATCGTCGGCAATTTTCCGTCGCTATTCCGACGAATATTTCCGACACCTTTCCGACGGGCTTTCGACGAATATTTCCGACGATTTTCCAACAAATATTTCCGACGAATTTTCCGACAACTAATCTCGACAGAAATTTCTGACGAATTTCCGACGAATATTGTTTTCCGACCAGAGAATTCCGACAAACTTGGTGTAGTCGGAAATTCGTCGGAAACATCCATTTCCGACGAATTTCCGACTATTTGGTTTGTCGGAATTTGCTATGTTTTCTTGTAGTGCGAGGTCAAGAAAATATATATTGTATGCGATTGAATTTATATTTTTAACTATCATATTAACTATAAAAAAAACAACATTTTAGTGTACAATCAAATATGTTTTTGAATTTCAAAGTTTTTTCCTCGGCTTTTCTCTTTTAGCGAACCGTTGCACAAGTTGTAAAAACGTTTAATATTTCTTTTGAATATAATTTAACATTACATTCAAAAAAAAAAAAACAAATATGTTTTTGAAAAATATAAATGAAAAAGCGAAATGCAAATGGAAATTAATTAGATTTTGTGTTTCACATTAATTTTCTTAATCAGTTGTTAGCTATATATAAAAAAAAACAGAAGCATGCTAATTTAATCAATAAGTGCAAATGCAAATTGGAACCATATATCAACAGTAAGCTGAGATGCATGATACATGCCAGTTTCGTGTATGACCATTGAATCATACGTGAATCTGAAAATGGAGATGAAAGAGAAGCTAATGTGGACAAAAGAGAGAAACAAAGCATAAACGGTGGTATATTAGCTTATTAGATATGGTTGTGTTTAGGACGTAGAATGTTTTACACCCTCCTAAACACAACCATATCTTATAATGAAGATGCATGCAAGATAAGATACAATCAGAGCCGTTGATCTTGCCTCCAATTAATATGCTCTTTGTTTGTTAGCTACAAAAGCTACATACGTACATATACACATATAACTATGTCACGTAGTTATCTCCCGACAATCTCATATGACAATCATCGGATCTTCCAAAACATTCTTACCCAATCCATCTGTTGTATTTCGTCTTCTATACAAACTTGTATAAAGATGTTCATTAAAACATTTAGTTATGTCTTCTCAAGTCCCACAAGAACTATTTATCATTGAAAGTCCCACAAGAACTCAAATATAGATGACATAATATACCACAAACTCATTATGTCAGCGGTCCAAAGACATTGTTAATGGTCGAGGCCCGAGGGGTAGCATGATGTGTCCTCTGTCTAAGGAGAATCTTTTTTTTTTTTTATCAAACTAAGAAGAATCTCTTTCTAGCATATGTATCCTTCCAAAAAATCTTGGTTTGTAATTGTGCCACAAGTTTGAAATGAAAATAAGATTGATAGAATGATATAATTAGACAATAAAACATAAAATAGCCCATTCAAAACTGCAGTTAGCGCATTCAAGCAAGACGGAGAATCTGTTATTGGGCCAAGAAAAGCCCATTAGTCTAAAAAGAATTTTTATCGTCTGTGTTTATATCTTCGTGAAGATATGCCGCACGGAAAAGAAATAAACCCTAAGAGCCTATGATGCGAGAGAGTATGAAACTATGAAAGAGAAGAGAAAGAGTAATCGTGAAAGAGTAGATGAAAGGAGAGAAGAAGAACACGG